TTTATTATTTTATTTTATTGCATTTTATTTTATGTTATTACATTTTATTATTTTATTTTATAATTTTAATTAATTGCATTTTATTAGATTTTATTATTTGATTTTATTTATTTTATTATTTTATTTGATTTTATTTCCGTTACTTAACCAGGCAAACCTATGGAAGCTGAGAGCAGACGTTTTCAGCTGGGAATATTTTTCCACGGTTTTCTCGAGATTACGCAGAAAAGGAAAAGGAGACCTCGTTATCTAGGTTATCAGGTCTGAACCGGCGGGTCGAACCCAGGACATTCTTGCTGTGAGTCGGTGGTGCTAACCACTGATCCATCGTGCTGCCATCATCACCTTTAGACCTGTTTGGGTTCAGAAGTGAGGCCCCTGGCCGGCTCCACAGACTTCGGGGTGTCGGGGTTCTTCTGGCTCTYCGCCCGTCACGGAGCAGGGGTCCCCTCTGCCGCCGGGCCTAAAATGTTGTTGTTGTGGCAACGTGACACCGAGCTCCGTGGACTGAATGACAATGTTCTGGTTTGTTCATCTGTCTGCAGGAAAACGTACGAGCGTCGTCAACAAACGTCTTATTTCATGGAGATGTCCTCTTGTTGTAGGTTCGAGCCACAGACGCAGACCAGGGGGAGAACGGCAGAGTCCTGTACAGGATCCTGACTGGTAGGTGGTCCTCACTGACCAGGTCCACAGACCTGCTGCAGAACTCATCATCACCTCTCAGAAGTTACCTTTGAGGTTTTAAAGTTGGATTTAATGATTTATTTATTGCGTCGCACTGACAAGATAATTTAATCCCATCGATGACTAACAGTCAGATTAAATAAATAAGCTCTGGGTTCAGATTTATTATCTGTATTAATACAGATGTTCTCTTACATTCTGCATGTTTTTGTTTGTGCACGCAGGAAACAACAACAATCAGTTCAGCATCGACAGGCAGACGGGGCTGGTGACGAGAGGCCCGCAGGCCCTGGACCGAGAAACCAGGAGCTCCCACGTGTTGGAGGTGGAGGCCTACAACAGTGACGAGAGCAGCATGAGGAGCTCCGTCAGGGTGAGAAGGAGTGACTGATGCAGACATGATGGATCCAAAGCAACAAACGCAGCAGTACAGCAACACGAATCACTTTCAAGGTCTTCAGTTTTACAGGAGATATGAGTTCACCTCAGCAATCAACCTCAACTGGAAAAGACTGATTTTAAAACTAATTTAAAAACACCGTCAAAAATGTTGTTTTATCAATTTATTCATTTCATTCATAGAAGAAACAAAACAAAAAACTAAATGTGTCATGAAAGAAACGGGTTCAGAAAGAAGAAAATCTCAGAATGTTTGTCCCTTATTTATAAAAAATAAATACAAACAACTTAAACTTGAACAATCTCTAAATTTAAAAAAGTAAAAACAACATCAGGTGACAGACTGCTGCATCCGAGGAGCACAGAGGAGCGTTATCACAGATCCTTCCTCCCAGCAGCTGTCAGACTCTATAACCAGCACCACGCCCAAAAATCACAATGTTTACACAAATCACAATAAGTGTTTACAAAAACCACAATAAATATTTACAAAAATCACAATAAGTGTTTACAAAAA